AGAGCTGTTGTATATCTGTGTAACTGGGTTTGTGGTGGATTTAAATTTGTTGTAACCATTCTGTTTTTAAATTATTAAGTCCAAGTAGCTAATTAATGAACGTAAAGTAATCATTAATTTTGGTATTTTTCCGTTATTAGTTTCATTTAAAATTAAACAATTTTAAATAAATTTATATGTAAATCTCTAATACTGTTTTCATTTTTTCATTGCATGCATTACATTGTAATATGTAAATTTAGCCGCTTGATTAAGTTTAAATGTATTCTGAAGAAGCTGTTGAGAATCACAACTTGTGATAGCGAAAAAAATATTAATTTAAAATAAACTCTAAACAAATTTTAAATACAGTTTAGTTTTTACATCATTTATACTTTACTTATAGAGATCCAGTTTTATCAAGTAAAGGTAGAAACAATAAATTATTATTGTAATTCTTTATTTTTTGGCAATTGTGTACATATTTTTATACAAAAACACAAAAAAGGATACCTAGTATTTTTATATATTGAAATAGTTATAGCCACGTAAAATCCGTAAAACTCCCTATAACATAATTGTCGACAAAGTAATTTATCCATAAACGCGTGAATTCTAATGTGTTTGCATTAGCATATTTGCAAGGCGACAATACACACTATAGTATAGTGACTATACTATAGGTAGAGCATACGCGCACATACGTCACGGCATGTGTGCATTAATAGAAGACTTGATAGTCGTAGTGGGCTTAAAGATGGGGTGGCTCCCCTGCCAGCTGTTCGGACCGTGCAGCGCGTGGACTGGTGGTCCCCTTTTCGGTACACACTGCCGCTATATGTTAGTACGTAGGGACCTGGTTTCTACACACCTGGCTAACCACCGCTCGAGCGGAGACTCACAACAATCGACAATCGGTCTGTGATTACGTTTATAATAATAGCATTGATCTTCACTCAACGATAATAGTTTGTAGATACGAGTAGTATGGTCGATGATACTACGTGTTGCTTTTTCGAAGTTTAATTTAATATTTACCTGATGGACTTATTACCATAAGAGTGACTGCCAAAGACTTTAAATTTTTTTATAAAGACCATAAAGTCAAAGGGAATTATATTAATACATGTATAAAATTCATATCATGCTCAAACATGCGCAAAAAATCATACGGTTAAAACGAATTACATACCAAACACAAAGTTATGTTTTTCAGAATTTAAGGCCCATTTTATTTGACACTTATCTAACAGCTAAGATATGTCACTTACTTTTTTCCAATTTTAAATTAAAGCCAACTTTAAAACGTGTATCAAAAGTCGAAAGGCACTATTGAAAACAGCTTGTAAATGAAGAAGTAAATAATAGTATATTATTTGTATTGTTTGATAAACTCCATTTTAGCTCGCTCGTGCCTAATTAAAATTCGTGTCTAGAAAAGTTTATAAACGAGTTGCATACTAAACTTTTTCTACTACAAATACTTATTATTATCCAAAAATGATTTGAATTAAATATTTGTATTGAGCGACATCTATAAAAAAATACATTCACGTAACAATTTCTAACTTGGGAAACCGGCGCACAAGTCAAAATGTCAATTTTCAAGTTAGTTGACAGTTGTCAAATGTCATACAATAGTTAAAATAAAGGCCCATCTTGTGAAATAATAATGAGGAAATTATTTATTATCTTAATACAAAAATAACAAGTATTAAATAGTTTCTCAACGCCAATACCTTTTGAAAAGTTTATATGCAAGTTTGTACTGAAGTGTTGATTTTTCCGAAAGTAAACTATATTTAACTAACACCATTAAAAATTTCGTGTGGAGACACCACCGTAAAGTGCCCATAAAACATTATCTTCACTTTTACTGTTAAAAACTGCTTCTATATCGGATTCCCATTCTTACGCGAGTGGTTACTCTATTTTTGTATATATGCCGCTCTATACAAATTATTAATTTAATCATTTTTTGATAATAAGTATTTGTCGTAGAAAGTATAATATGCAATTTTGTTATAAACTTTTCTAGACATTTATTTAATTAAACCCTCGCTCGCAAGCTCGCTCGTGCATAATTTAAATTCGTGACTACAATCAAACTTGATACATAATAAACTATTATTGTACTAGTTCTATTTTTTTTGTTAACGATGACATTTTGTATTGTTAAATTTGTCATTTTTGTTTTTATAGTAGGTAATGTTTTTTGGCAAACTAGCCTGAACCGGCCTTAAAATTTAATTAAACTTTAAAAGGCTGTTTCTATAGATAATTTTTTAATTTTGATGAAAAAGTTATTACTTTGTTGGTATATTTGATTTCTACCCGCGCTGTTAAAAAAGCGTCAACTTAAAACTCACCCTGTATGTTATTGATATAAAAACTAAACAAAATTAAGAAAGCTGTAAGAATTCTTAAAAAATCTGAAAAAAAAAACAAAAAATATAGAAAATAAAAAAAACAGGAAATAATACAAAATAATAATGTAGATATATGTATGTATACTAGAGTGTCTCAAAAAAACCGACTATTTTTTTTTCCAAAGAACATTGAAAATTCGTCAGAGTATCTCTAGAAAATGACCCTGTGAAAGTAAGAGCTCTTAATATTAATATTTAGATGTGGCGTTTTGTAATTTTCTATTTCCCCTTTAAATAACGGGAAATTTTTATTTTCAAATTTGGAATTTTGTAACGTGATAACGAGCTACTTTATAAGTATGACGAAATTACTCCTTATAGGAAATTTAATGCTCTACAAAAAAGGTCTGATTGACTTTTTGCGTAAGTCAAGCCGTTTCAAAGATATCGAGCCTCAAACTTCAGAATGTTTAAAATTATGGCTTTTTTTTTCTTAAATACAAAAAAATCAGGAGATAACAGAAGAAAATTGATATAAAGTGAAATGGACTATTAACATGACTATATAAACAGTAAATATATTATTAATACATAATGTAAATAAATTTATAGTAAACTTCTACCAAATTTTTTTAGGTAAGTGAATATTTTTTGATAAAAATCAATAAAAATTATCATTTATCAAATTATTAAGAATTTTAGATCTGCATTCCATCAAATATATGCATATATTTATTCTCAAGTTAATAATTTTGGGTCTTAAATACATATAAATTGATTTTTTGTATTTAAGAAAAAAAAAGCATAATTTTAAACATTCTGAAGTTTGAGGCTCGATATCTTTGAAACGGCTTGACTTACGCAAAAAGTCAATCAGACGTTTTTTGTAGAGCATTAAATTTCCTATAAGGAGTAATTTCGTCATACTTATAAAGTAGCTCGTTATCACGTTACAAAATTCCAAATTTGAAAATAAAAATTTCCCATTTTATTTAAATGGGAAATGAAAATTACAAAACGCCACATCTAAATATTAATATTAAGAGCTCTTACTTTCACAGGGTCATTTTCTAGAGATACTCTGACGAATTTTCAATGTTCTTTGGAAAAAAAAATAGTCGGTTTTTTTGAGACACTCTAATGTATACATAGGTAATACATAATAAAAATGTACATAATACATATGTATATTAAAAATGTCTTGACAAAAGCTATTATGCATTTGTAAAAATAGTATATTATGTATCAATAGACTGGGCTAAAAAAATCGACTATTTTTTTTTGTATATATATAGAAAATATTGTTTGGGGTTACAAAAAAAAATATGGTGAAAGTTTGAGTTCATAATATTAATATTAAGAGGTCTATCATCGCAATTTAATATTTTTTTTTCCTGAGCGAGTTTTTGTCTCAGAACTCCCAAACCATTGAGTTTAACAAAATTGACTTAAGAATATTTTTTGAAGAAAATTGAATGCTCTACAAAAAAGGTTTAATTGGAATTTCCAGTTAAGGTTAAATTTGAAGTCAAAACGAAATTCTTGTTTTTTCCGCTCCAGATTTTTTTTTGTGTCAGTTAAAAACTTGAATTCTTTTATAGATGATAATCTTTATGTTATTGATAATTACTGAAAATTAAATAACATTAGAATTTTTTCGCTTTAAGAAGCTATTTTCTTTAGAAAATATTATTTTTAGTTACCTATTTAATCGTTTAAATAATAATAATTATGTTGTTTTTTTATTGGAAATTGTTAATTAGTTACATAATACACATTTATAAAGAAAAAAATCAAATTATCATACATAAAAAAATAAATCTGCAGAGGAAAAAACAAGAATTTAGTTTTGACTTCAACTTTAACCTTGAATAACTTTTGATTGAGTGAATTTAGCCAAAAATGTTAAGAGGCTTTTTTGTAAAGCATTTGATTTCCCATAAGAATATTCATCGGTTTTTTTCTGGGTACTGATTTTTACATGAATTACAAAATTCCAAAGTTAAAAGATCAAAATGTAAAACTATACCAATTTTTAAAGCATGATTTTAAGGAAACGGTTCATCTGACGGAAAATTTCAGTTTAACCTTTTTTGTAGAGCATTTAATTTTTTTTAAACATATTTCTATGTCAATTTTGTTAAACTCAATGGTTTGGGAGTTCTGAGACAAAAACTTGCTGAGGAAAAAAAATTTAAAATTGCGATGATAGACCTCTTAATATTAATATTATGGGCTCAAACTTTCACAATATTTTATTTCTGTCACCCCAAACCATATTTTCGATATACTTTAAAAAAAAAATAGTTGATTTTTTAGCCCAGTCTAATATATATGTATCAATTGATACATTAAACTTAAGTTTAATAAACTCCATTTTAGATCGAATTTAATTTAGGCACGAGCGAGCTTGCGAGTGTCTAGAAAAGTTTATAAACGAATTGCATACAATACTTTTTCTACGACAAATACTTATTATTATCTTAAAATGATTTAAATCAAAGATTTGCATAGAGCGACATCTATAAAACAATAGGGGAATCTGTGTTACCTTCAAATATCAAATTTTTAGATTATAAAGGTTATAAATCAAAATGTATAGAAAATGGATTAACAACCGTTTTTCACAGTGAAAGTAAAGAAAATGTTTTATGAGCACTTCCCAGTGGAGCCCGAGTCCGAATTTAAGTTATATCTAGTTTAATGCCGGTGAAATTAAAAGGTCAGTACAATGTTCAAACTTTTCAAATTTTAGCGTTGAGAAACTATTTAATACTTTTGTATTTTTGTATTGAGATAATAAAATAATTTTCACATTTAGTATTATTTTACAAGAAAGGCACTTTATTTTAACGATTGTATGACATTTGACAACTGTCAAAATAATAATCATTACTAACTTCAATTCGCGACTAAAAACCTGTTGTTAACTTCAACCCGTGATTAAAACGCCATAAAGCCACAACTTGTCAATGTGTATTTAAAAAGTCACTTAGTGTCATGAAAACATGTACGATAATGGGCGTTTTAAAGGTGGGAGTAGAAAAAATATTTTTTTTGTACAATTTCTGTACAATTATTAAATAAAAAAATCATACAATAAATAATCTTCTTATTAGCGCATTCATAAGTTATGATGGTGAGTAAAGTTTAAGTATATGTGTTTAAAAATTAAATACGCACAAAAAACCTTTTATACAGAGTATACTGTATGGATGCGCATTTCCTTTCTATTAACCCATTTAAATCCGACAGTTTGTTGCTTCTATTTCATATCTGTATTGCCGCAGTCCTTCCTCAGGACGGAAATTATGTTTGATGTGGAATTTGATTAGGGTTGTTTTTTGTCTCGCGCACACATGTCATGTCTACACCGGGCGAAAAATGTATTGGTTACGGGGTGATACCTCCACCTTTATTATTAAAACATAACATTTTTTGATAGATTTTTTGAGGAGATTTTTTGCACGGTCCATTTGCCATGGTAATTAAGTGCTGTTCTCAGCTATTATATGCATTTTTTAATGGTTAAGTCAAAATGTAAGTATTTTTGGTTATGTTAATACTGTTGTAACAAGAAACTTAACGCCAAGAATAGATACTTAAAAAGTGGTACACATTTAATAGTTAACTTCGATAAACAATTGTTTAAAGTATCCACTAAATACCCTTGTTATCGTGGGATCTTTAACGATCATTTAACCCTGCTGAGAAGAGAATAAAATATGCAAAACAAAACCCTTTCAAAGCGAAACGAAAAAAAAATACAATAATCTAACGTAAGACAATGACATTCGAAAAGTATCGCACGGTATGAGTCCATTGAAGTGACAAGATCAAGATCATTACCAAAGTGCGGGTATCCTTAAACTTATTGAAAAGGGGCAGATATTAAAAGGACTCAGAAACACCTGAGTGAGCCTTAAAAGTACGGCTAATAGAGGTTGATTTCGAACGAAGTTGGTCGATTATAACGAGGCATGTGTTAAAAAATGTAAGCGCTATCAAAAACATATTCATAAACGATGCGGGTAATGAGACCAGAAATAATCATACATGACGATTAGGGCACATTGTCAACATTTGCGAGTGCTTTGCAAGAGGATTCAGATAATTTTTTCAATGACAATTGTTGGCAGATGTTTTAGATCGATTTATGCATTAAGATATATGTACATAAGTAGCAAATTTAAATCTAAAACTTTCTTAAAAATGTCTCAATTTGTATAAAAAATGTACTTTTAAAGAGATTTATAGTTTAAGGGTATTTTAAATGGTCCTTTCGGGGACACCCTGTATATGGTATAATAATGTTCATGCTGTAAACATTATGGCAGCCATTTTTTCTGCTTGACTTGTTCGAAAATTAACAGCTCCCAAGAAAAAGATAACCATTAAGAAAGTATTCGTTGGTACAGGTAATTTGAATTAAATGAAAAACTTTTAAAATTTAATAAACAGCTATTCTGGAAGATATGGCAGTTCATAAAAGTTCTTTCGAGTGTTGCAAATGAAATTAACTTGAAAAATAATTAAATTCCTCACTAATTTTTTAGTATTTTTGGCACCACTTAAGACTTGCTATTTAATAAGGAAAACTGATATTATTCTCAATGACCAAATAGAAACCAATAATTCCCCGCTATTAAACTTATTTTAATAAATACATACTTAAGTATAGTGTTAAATAACTATAGCTGTAAAACCAATGATGGTTTATATAATAGAAAATTAATATTAGTTTGTATACGATCTGAAGATGCTACTGTGTGCGAAACAATTGTCATATTTAAATAAAATAGTGAAACTTTTAAACAGTGTAGTTTATATTAATATTATATTAACTAAATTAAATGTTTACAGAGAAATAAAATTTTAACGTTGTATTAGAAAATTGTGTGTCCTAAAAAAAAATTACAAAATGTAGATTGCTGGTTTTGCTTTAATACCCCTCATTTGGTTATTTTATGGAATAAACCAACATATTGTGGCGGTGGAATGTAAAGGAGTTTGTTTAGAGCGGAAATTCGATAACATAGCCTAAAGTGTAAATGCATTAAAATATCAAATATCTTAAATATCAACATTTACAGCCATTATTAATTAAAACTTAATATCTATTAGAAATGAATAATAATGTGTTATTTTATACTGAAAGTATTTTATTGTATTTTATTTATATGTGGTGCTGAATTATGGTTATACAAAAATGACTACTTTTAGATTGGATTAACAAATTATTAGAAATTTAAGAAAATACTTACATTTGCTATGCAGTGGACTGTAGTAAATTTGTGTTTCCTCATTTCAGCATCTTAATTCGTTCTTTTTCGCGTCCTGTACGCGCTAATTAATTGTATATCTTTAAATAAGGGGCGCGACAGTGATTATTTAAATCAAGATTGCCCAAATACAAAAAACAAATTTATAAATCCAAAAATAAATAAGTAGGAAGTATGACGGTACTTCCGATTTGATTTTCTGTATTATTAGATCAGTCTTTGGCTGTTGAATACATCTGAAATTAGGTTTGGTGAATCCCCTATTCACTTTCCGGGATTATCAAAAACGATTTTCTCGTGCTCTTATAGAAATAAGTAGAATCTTTTTAAGTAAACGTAAAAGGTGTTACTATTACCATGGAGATATAAGTAGGTATACTTATTTTATGCCATAATGAAATTTATCAAACTAAAACTCTTAGCAAAGGGGAGCAGACATAAGCCACTAATACTTTGATCTCTTAACAAAGAAATACAAAATTTTTGCGGGATCAGCTCATCATGAATCAGATCTAGGTATCCTTTACTTCTCTGCAAAAATAATAATTGTGAAGCATTATACAGGGACAGGGGATTTAAAAAATGTATCCCCAAGCTATTAAAAAAACTACTTTTATAGCATTAAATGCTATAAAATAGTACAAGTTTTTGATAAAATTTGTAGTTTTTACAAGAAGTCACAATAGTGTCTTAAAAAAGTCCAAACTCTAAAGTAAAAGTCAAAACTGCATAAGACGTTAAAAAAACTTAAAAATCTAGTAAGCTTTGAAAATTTGCTAAACGAAAGGGAAATGAAGGGTGAATGTAATGTATGCATTTATTCTAAGCATAAAAAATAGATGTAGTGATAGATAAGAAAAAGTTGGTGCCCTGTAAAAGTATGAATGACGCCACATGCAATGACTGGGCTAATGAAAATAACATTCCAATGAGTAAATGCGTCGCGACGAGACCCGAGGCGTCAAGACGTGCGTCGCCAGGTTTCAAAACCATTTTTAATCTTGTTAATGTTATATTGGACATAAAGTCTAATAAAATGTTTAAAAGCATTTATTAACATAATTTTCTTATAAAAACTCTGTAAAAACACAAATCAAAAACCCTTGTACGATTATAAGCAGAAGAATTAACATATACAAGAGTTTTAATGCTATAAATCATCGAAGGTATTAAACGTCTTCTTTAGCAGTTTTTTTGTAATAAACAGGTTTTTAATTGATTAATCGATTTTAAAAACTTTCAATTTCCGGATAATTCGATAGCAGCTGTTAGGGAAAGCTACTTAAAATTTATAGTGCAACATTTTGATACTGCCTTATCACATATGTTAGAATTCATTTTTTTTCTTCCTATTACTTTTATTTTTAGTTTTGTAACGAATAATAAAAATATTCTAATTAGAAGTTAAAAGGTCCACTCACTTTTGCTCTAAATAATAATAAATGATAGTTTATTTTAAATCTTTTAAATACATGTATGTGCACATTGACAAGTTGTGACTATGGCTTTTTAGCCACGGGCTGTTGTTGTCTTTCGGGCTTTTTAGTCACCTTAGATCTAGGTTAGTCACGCACTTAAGTTAGTTGAAATTGTCATACACTGTTATAAAAATCAGATTTGTGAACATGATTTTGTAGTTTGTTAATTTTATTTTGTAAAATTTTAATATAATTTTTTATATAAAACCATGGTTTGTAATTATTATAACAAAATATTTTCCTAAAAGTTTTGTAAATTTAATATGCAATTTTGTAAGCATTTTGGTAATTTCCAAAGGTTACAGATTATTTTGTTAATGTTTAACAAATTATTTCTCACTGACTTTTTTATCTTCGTACAATAGGTATACCGGTACGCATTAACAAGTTCAACTGACTTCAGCATCTGCAACTTATGTTTATGCTTACTTTATTCTAATTCTTAACGTGTTCGTAACAACTGTTCAAAGTGCACTTTGAACAGTTGTTACGAACATGTTTATATTACCAGATATATGTTATTATTGCTATTCGGATTCATTAAAAAGACGCCATCACTGTTTTTCAAACTGAAATTAGGGGATACAATGAAGTGGGTTAAAATTACGAAATACATCAGTAAGTGTTGTAGTAGTACTGATAGTTATATTGTACCAAATTTCTTTAAAAATTAATTTTAAATTGGTGTGTTATTTTATTGTGTGTATGTTATTTTTGTGTTCATTCATGTAGGTATATGCTAATTTTTTGTTTGGGAAATTGAATAATAAAGCAACATTTTTTATCAAAATTAGTAATGCCGCGAGACGAGACGAGACGAGAAAAGTCCTCCTCTCGTCTCGTCTCGTGCAGCGAGAGAAAATGGGTCTCTCGTCTCGTCGAGAATACTCTTTTCTCGCTCGAGAGTGCCTTTCTCTCGTCTCGTTTCTTTTGTGGTAAAAGTATCTATGTATGAATATAAA